CTTGGTTGATTGTGTAGTTGGGGTCCTAGACCTGGCAGCTTGAAAAACATGCCAGGTGCATGTGTGTGTGTGCTCAAAATCCTGAGAGGATCCGAGAAGGTATTGAGACTTGGCCATCCTCCCTAGGGGATAGTTTCTCACTTTCCTTCTTTCTCTCTCTGTGTCTGTCTCTAGTGAGCTCACAAACTTCACATGCCCTCTGGAGAAAAAAAATAAGACACATCAGTAACAAGAGAAAAGGCAAAGAATAATGGTATAGATTTATGTCCATTGACTCAGAAAAGCCGCTCTGTGAAACATATATTAAGAACGTAATTAGTCATACACGGTTCAAGGACGTTTTGTTGTTCATTGTAGAGTTGTTTATAATAGTAAAACCTAGAAGCAATCTAAATACTCAACAATAGAAAGGTGGGTAAATACACTGTAAATTAAAATATTTAAAAATGCATTATAAATAAAATAGAATATGTTGAGCCAATTACAATGAAATTGTAGATGGATATTTACTGGCATGAAAAAATATTTTTATGCATTATGGATTAAGAAAAATGGATTACAAAATGATATACATAGTAGGATGCTATCTGAGTGTGTGTGTGTGCGCGCGTGTGTGTGTGTACATATGTGCTTGCCTGTGTGTAAGCAGGTAAATCATTATAAGCCTGAATAGCAATTTTGTGACAAAAACAGGAAATGTATGCATGCATAACAAATTCTGCATGGTTGCTACAAAAATGGTATTGATGTATTTCTCTGTGTTAAAATGATTGTTGATTGGGGCCGGCAAGTGGCATGGTGGTTAAAGGCGCTGGACTCCCACATGGCTGACCACGGTTCAAATCTCGGACCTGGTGGCTTGCTTTTTCACTTCCTCTCTCTCTGTGTCTCTCTGATCAAACTGGAAAATAATGATAATAATAATAAATAAAGTTTAAAAAAATGATTGTTGATTTAATTTTTGTATTTTATTTATTTATAATTTCTGATTTTTCTTTAATAAGGATTTTATTTCAATAATAAATAATTATTAAACTATGTTAGAGAGATATATGTTACACGTATGTTTATTGACTTTGTTAATGGACAAGAACTTTCTAGACCTAACAGCAGTATAGCAGTCTTGTGCTGGAGCTGGCTTGTATACACTTGTGACAGCCAATTGTCACCTCTTCAGGAATTTTGTAAGCAGGTCAGTTGGTAGCTAAAAACCAGCTGGCGTGGGACTATGTATAGTGCAGATGCTACAAATCAGATTTTTAAAAAAATACTTAATTTACCAGCAACAGCTGAAAGACAGTTATGACCAAAAAAAAAAAAAAAAAAAAAAAAACGACATTTTTAAATAAAAAAAAAGTAACGTACTTATTCATATAAAAATGAGTGTAGGGTTCAGGGTCCAGGTGGTGGCACAGCAATGATACAACTGGACTCCATGGTAAAGGGTCTCGGGTCACACCCCAGGACCTCTCTGACTATGCTGAGAGCACATGTGTACCTGTGACCCGGGCTGGCTGAGACTGGAGGTGGATTATGGCACAGAGACCCTGTTGGGATACCTGTCTCTCTACACATGGGAGAACTAACTTACTAACTAAACAAACAAGCAAAAACAGAATGCATTTATTGGTTTGAAAGGACGCAAGATGAAAAAGTAAACAATGGGGGGAGGTGTTTGACAGAGGTTAAATATGTCAATAGAATAAAAGAGAATGTACAATTAAAAAAAAAAAAACACCTTGATATAAAAAAAGGCAAACATGGGACCAGTAGATGGTGTAACGGCTACATCATTGTGCTCTCATGTAGTTGACTGCAGTTTGAGTCCCGGACCCGGTGGCTTAAACCCATGCTGGGTGCATGTGCGTGCATGCCCAAGATCCCAGGAGGAGAATGGAGGAGAAGGGATTGTGGCATGGCCATCCTCCTGGGGGGTGATTTCTCGCTTTCTACCTCTCTGTCTCTCTCTATCTTTCTGGAGAGTGGCACCCCGCCAAAAGCAAAACCCCCCACAAAAAAAAAAAAAAAAAAAAAAAAAAAAGAAAAGAAAATCTTTCTGCTTCAAATGACATAAAAAATGTAAAAGGACTAACACCCCCATGGGAAATTTTTGTAAATCATGAATCTGGTAAGGAATCTGTGTCTAAAATGTATAAAGAACTCTTATAACTCTATGATTAAAAAGATGAACAACCTGGGTCAGCAGGAGGCATGGTGGTTTAGGCACTGGATCCCACATGACCGACTCTGAGGTTCAAATCCCAGATCTAGCGACTTGAAAACCATGCTGGATGTGTGTGCATGTGTGCTCAAGATCCTGAGAGGAGGATGGAGGAGAAGGGATCGGTAACGGGACTTAGGCTTGTGTTTATTTGCACAGCTATGATAACTTTTTCTACCCTACCTTGTCCAATATGGTAGCCACTACCACACACAACCACTGAGCCCTTGAGATGCAGGTAACCCAGCTGACACATGCTATAGCTGTAGAACACACACTGGATTTTGAAGACTTTGTTTTGCATTTGTTTGTTATTAGTTTTTGTTATAGGGTGCATGTGATAGCCAGAGAGACAGAGAGACAGAGAGAGAGAGAAGGGAAAGACTCTGCTGATTTCTGAATGGCCACACTGCAATCCCTTCTCCATTCTCCTCTCAAGATTTTGGGCATGCACACACATATCCTTAGCATGATTTTCAAGCCACTGATCTGGAACTCCAACCTCCCAGTGAGCCACATGGGATCGAGTGGCCTTAACCTCCATGCCACTCACTGGCCCGATTTTGAAGACTTTGTATGAATAAAGTATAAAATAAATTGTTAATAATATTTTATATTCATTGCATGTTAAGATATATGCTGGATTAAGTATTACAAAGTTTATAAAGAAGCCGTAGTCTCTGAGAATTCAAGTTTTCCTTGAGAGTGTGGCTTATCAGTGCATAGCTATGCCTGATTGGAAATGCAGGCTCAGTGCTTACTCACTGGCCAACGGGGAGGAAAAGCAATTGCTAAAGTGTTTGGCTTACTATTTTGCGTCCCTGGCGTTACGTTCTAGACCTGTGTTCACAAAGTCAAAGTCTATGGGAGCTGGCAGCTAAATTCTTACTGAAAGAAGAATTCAAGAATCTCCAGCGATGGGTCTGAGGTAGAAATGACAGGCATGCAGGGCAAGGCGCGCTCATTCTTTCAGTTTTAGAAACATTTGTAGATGTAGTTCCCCTGTTAAACAAATTCTGAGCTGGGGGAAACAGAGGAAGAGAGAATAGGAAGAGTCCAAATGAATACCAAGATCATTAATTTAGGGAAGTCAAGCGTTGCTCTCTGTGTGTTAAAAATAAACTTGATTACAGCAGAGAATTGTGGAGGGAAAAGAAGGAAAGTTTCCGTAGTCCTCACTTCGGTTTATCAGTAGACCCCATGCATATTAGGCTGAGTTCAAAGGCAGACAGTTGGCGTCCCTTAGCTTCATTTGCCCATTTGTTAGGCAAATGACTATTAGTCTGACGGCTATTTTTGTCATCATTATTTGAAAAAACAGGAGTGGAGCTATTAAGATAGATACCAAGTTATCCTTGAATATGCGACAGTTAGCCCAGAGAAAGTGTCTTGGACCCTGTTTGAGAACAGAGAGTCTTAGATTGCATGTTTATCATACAAAGTTTAGAAAAAAAAACATATTTTGGGGGACCAGCAGATGGCATAATGGTTATATCACTGGATTCTCATGTAGTCAACCACGGTTCAAGTCCTGGACCCGGTGGCTTAAATTCACACCTGGTACATATGCCTGTGTGCCCAGGATCCTGAGAGGAGAATGGAGGAGAAGGGATTGCGGTGTGGCCATCCCCCCTGGGGGGTGATTTCTCACTTTCTGTCTCTCTGTCTCTCTTTCTGGCGAGTGCACATGCCCTATAGCAAAAACTTGTCAAAAAATCATAATTTGATGAAAGTTTGAAAAATTCTGAACATATGAACACTGAGGCTCTGGAGGGGGTGCAAAAATCAGACATGATTAATGTCTATTCTATAATTGGTACATGAGTTATCTTCCGTCTTCAGAAATGTGCTTTAGCAAAACTCGACTCTCTTGATCCGTCCTTGTCTCTGTTCTTAGGCACCTTTAATAATGAACCAGGAAGAAAAGTCAGAGTAGGTGAAATATACCCAGATCTTAACCAAAAGGCAAGAAAAAGGGCACAACAGGTGAAACACACCAGACCACACTCTCACTTCCCCCAGCACGGCCACAATGATAGTATTTTGAAGCCAGCCACTGGGGATCTGTGGGTTATTGCTGTCACCTCCATCACGTCATCAGAGCACACAGCAGGGAGCTGGCTGTAGTGAAAAATGAAATTACAGACACGATTCTATCTTTTCTTTAATTTGGCATAGGGTGTGTACGTTTATTGTAGAAAGAGAAAGAGAAAGAGGGAAAGTGAGAAAGCACCTCCAGGAGGAATGGCCACATCACAATCCCTTCTCCTCAGCATTTTGGACACACAAGTACACGCACCTGGCATTTTTCCAGCTGCCAGGTCTGAGACTCGAACCCTGTAGCCAGTTATGTGGGATCCAGCCACCTTAACCATCATGACACTGGCTGACCTGATATGATTCTCTTTTAATAATCAATTGACCAGGCTAGCCAGTGGCATGGTGGTGAAGGTGCTGGACTCCCACATGGCGGACCGTGGTTCGAGTCCTGGACCTTTGTTTTCTCACTATCTCTCTCTCTCTGTCTCTCTGGTGAGTTTGCATGTTCTATAGCAAAATTAAAAATAATAATAATTAATCATAATAATAAATAAAATTAAAATTTAGGGAAAAAAAAAAAACCTTTGAGACCTGTTCTAAACATGAATAAGAGAAAGTAAGCTCATACTCACTGTGCAGTGTAATTCTGGTGAAAATCAGCAGATGGCACAGAAGAGCTTCCCCGCTCCCACCCCCCTCAACCCACAACATTAATGTGATTGCAGCGAAATAAATGTTCAAGGAAGTTCTGAACTGCCTTCAGACTGCCCAGCAGAGCAGACGAGCAGGCTGTCCTGGTAAGCAAGATCTCGTTTTTTGTAAGAGAAAGTAATGATACAGCTAGTTGTTGGGTACAGAAATCTTAGACGTCTCTATGGCTGGGCCCCAGGTGTTTTTCTAGATTATCTTTTTATGTATACTGACTGTGTGGTTTGAACTAGCATTTGTTTATCAGCCACTGGTCCTAAGTCAGAGGAAGGTTTTGTGTTTTTTTTCCCTTGAATGACATTTTACACATGACTTGTTTTCAAGTTTTTGAGTTAGGGAATGATGGGATCAGGGGCATCTCCCGGTTTTCTTACAAGAGCTGCTAGGTATTGTTTTCTATTGACGTTGCTCTCCCCTGTCCCCATTCCATTTACTGTAAGGTGAAAAAAAATTTTTTTTGGAGAGGTTTTTCTATAGGGCGCGTGCGCTCGCCAGCCAGACAGAGAGAGACAAGAGAGACAGAAAGTAAGAAATCACCCCCCAGGGGGGATGGCCACACCGCAATCCCTTCTCCTCCATTCTCCTCTCAGGATCTTGGGCACGCATACACACGTGCCCGGCATGAGTTTAATGCACCGGGTCTGGGACGTGAACTGTGGTTGACTACGTGGGAGTCCAGTGACATAGCCATTACGCTAACTGCTGGTCCCTAAGGTGAAAATATTAAGGAGATAAAAGTCAATGGCCTCGGCTGGCAGGTGGTGTGGTGGTTAAAGATGCTGGATTCCCACATGGCCAACCCCGGTTGGAATTCTGGACCTGGAGGCTTGCTTTCTCACTCTCTCCCTCTCTGGTAAAAATTGAAATAAATAAATGAATAAATAAATAAATAATAAAGTTAAATAAAATAATTCTTAAAAAAAAAAAAATCAGTGGCCTCTCGAGGCAGCAGCCTGCATGACTGCTCTGTTTTCACAGACAGGTTAATTTTAGTTTTTCTTCTGGACTGTTCCTACTAGTTATTTTTTTTCTGTTTGCTCAGACTACAGAAACTTTTCTGGGGATCAGGTGGAATTACAGGTTTCAAAAATGGTTTCCGAGCTACTACCAATTTGGGCAAAAGACTTGAAAGTAAATACAACTTTATAATAAAAAGCAAACGTTCAGAAAACTCTGGGGAAAACAACATCGAAAAGCTGTTGAACTAGTTCCAATCCTTTCAACCTGTGGTTAATAGCTAACTGGTCTGGTGCAGAGAAGATGCTTAAGAAATATTTTCAGGAATTTAGCATTATTAATGGGCAAGATTGATCTTGTGAGTGTTATTCACAGAGACCAAAGTTCTGAAATGATGCACCCAAAGTCTCCCAATAAAGACAATTCAAATGTAATGACTCATTTCATATCATCTGAGACTAAAGCTATCAAATCGCACAAAGGCACGTAAACCATACCTAGAAGTATTTTATGCTCTCACATTACAGCATCGTTATACTGTTCAACTTAGTAAGTCATAATTTTATTTGGCAGTAAAATAGTTTTGGGATTCTAATTAGATAAGTTTTTTTTTTTTTTTTGGAGAGATTTTCACTGTAGGGCGCGTGCGCTCGCCAGACAGACAGAGAGAGACATAGAGACAGAAAGCGAGAAATCACCCCCCAGGGGGGATGGTTACGCCGCAATCCCTTCTCCTCCATTCTCCTCTCGGGATCTTGGGCACACACGCACACGCGCCCGGTGTGAGTTTTAAGCCACCGGGTCCAGGACACGAACCGCGGTCGACTACGTGGGAGTCCAGCGACATAGCCATTACGCTAACTGCTGGTTCCCCTAATTAGATAAGTTTTGATGATCATCATTAAAAGTTTTACATTGGGTCAGCAGAAAACCTGGATCCCACGTGGCTGACTGCATCATTTAAGTCCTGGACCTGGCAGATTGAAAAACATGCCAGGTGAGTGTGTGTGCATGCCCAAAATCCAGAGGGTAGAATGGAGGAGAAGGGATTGCAGCATGGCCATTCCTCCTGAGGTGATTTCTCACTTTCCTCTCTCTGCTGAGTGCATGTACCGTACAGGGGAAAATTAGATTTAAAAAGACCAGTGTGAAGAGTAGAGACATTAATTTTCATGGATTTAGCAAGTTTGGTATATAAACACTTATGATCCTGTAAATTACTACAGATTATCAAATGGAACAACTGAGTAGATCCTTCAAGTGTACAATATTTTAATTTTCTTCTTTTCTTTTTAGAGGCTTTTTTTTTTTTTTTTGCTATAGGGCACATGTGCTCACCAGAGAGAAACAGAAAGACAGAAGGTGAGAAATCACCCCCCGGGGAGGAATGGCTATGCCTCAATCCCTTCTCCTCCGTTCTCCTCTTGGGACCTTGGGCACACACGCACATGTGCCCGGCATGAGTTTAAGCCACCAGATCCAGGACTCAAACCATGGTCAACTACATGGGAGTCCAGCGACATAGCCATTATGCTATCTGCTGGGCCCAAAACCATCTTATTTTGACCCAGCTTGTAAGAGATAGTTCTACCCTGAGATACTAGGCACTGGTCCAGGCAGTAGTTGAGTATTATTTTCATTCCCTTGGTCTTAGTCAGTTTGGGCTGCTATGTGAAGTACCGCAGACTGAGTGGCTTATAAACCACAGAAATTCAGTTCTCATAGTTTTGGAGGCTGGATGCCCAAGGCGAGGGTGATAACATGGCTTCAGGGGAGGGCCTCTTCTAGGTTACAGATCTCAGCTTTCTTCTTCTATCTTCACGTGGTGGAAAAAGAGCCAGAGAGCTCTTTGGGGTCCCTCTTACAAGGCACTAATTCCACTCAGGAGGGTTCCACCCTCATGACCCACTCATCTCCCAAAGGCTCACCTCCTAATACCATCACACTGAGGGTTAACATTTCAACATATGAGTTTGGGGTGTGGGTGGTGGCGTACTAATTCCATAATACCTGTGTAAGTATTGCTCCTTGGATGGGTAGTTCTTTCAGAAAGATGGAAAAGAGGAATTGGGAAATTTCTGAGTCTTTCTCCAGAACACAAGTGATGTCATTGAAAAGCCACCTTTACTTTTTTTTTTTTCTTTTTTGGAGAGGTTTTCGCTATAGGGTGCGTGCGCCCACCAGACAGACAGAGAGAGACAGAGAGATAGAAAGCGAGAAATCACCCCCCAGGGGTGATGGCCACGCTGCAATCCCTTCTCCTCCATTCTCCTCCCAGGATCTTGGGCACGCATGCACACGCACCTGGCGTGAGTTTAAGCCGCCTGGTCCGGGACTCAAACCACGGTCGATTACATGGGAGTCCAGTGACATAGCCATTATGCTAACTGCTGGTCCCTCACCTTTACTTTTTTAACGTGAATTTTAGTGTCTGTGTTGTCTTCTTTGCTCAGTCTTTGTGAATGCTGACAATGGGTGTGAGTACAAAGCACTCTTCTATATTAGGGGGGAAAAAATCTAAATAACATAGGCTCTTTGGGCACCTCTATAAAACAGTAAGTCCCAGGAAAGTTCCGGAAACAAGATAAGTTTGTGTATCTAACTTGAGGAACTTTTGTAACCCAGGGTTATTGTCTTAGTCCATTAGTACATTGCTAAGTGGAAATACCCAAGAGGCTCTGTGTGATCAGTCCTGACCCCTCTCCCTTTGCTCTGTCTATGAACATTGGCCTCTTCACTGGTCTTCAGACAAAAACCTCTCCAAAAAAAAAGTGTTTGTTATTTAGTAGGGAGACAGAAAATAAATAAATGACTACCTTTAATTCCAGGCAGTAGTAAGTTCTATGTAGAAAAATAAAGAAAGATAAGATGTAGGTATGGGATGGCATGAGGCGATGGCTATGTTTCATTGATTAGTTAGCGGAGGCCTTTTTGAGAAGATGACACTGGATAGAAATCAGAATGAAGAGGATGAGGAACCTACAGGAAGATCTGGGGAAAGCGCATTCCTGGCCAAGGAAAAGGTGGATCCAAGTGTTCTGAGATGGAAACGAGGTTGCTTTCTCAGTTAACCTCTTTTTCTCTCTCTGTCTCTCTTTCGCTCTGCCCCTCTCTGTTCAAATATAAATAAATAAATAAATAAATAAATAAATAAATAATAAATAAATAAATAAAGTTAAGTAAAATAATTTTTAAAAATTAGTTTATAAAAAAAAGAAAATCATGAGGAGGGACCAGCAGATGGCATAATGGTTATGTCACTGAACTGCCATGTAGTCAACTGAGGTTCAAGTCCTGAACACAACAGCTTAACAACTCATGCCTGGGTACATGTGTGTGTGTGCCCAAAATCCTGAGAGGAGACTGGAGGAGAAGAGATTGCAGTGTGACCATCCTCCCTAGGGGGTGATTTCTCATTTTCTGTCTATCTCTTTCTGTCTCTCTGGTGAGCACCTGTGCCCTATAACAAAAATCTCTCTAAAAGAAAAAAGGAAAGTCGTGAGGGGAGACATATTGAGAATGACAGTTCACTAGTTGACTCCTAACCAGATTTCTAAATGATCTTGGGAGGTTGAGACTAATAGTTTTCTATGAATGCTAAAACAAAATGATCATAAATGCTTGGATGCTTAAAACAACAGACATTTATTTCCTCATAGTTCTAGAGGCCAGAAAGCGCCCCAAACCAAGGTGTCACAGAGGCACAATCTCTCCAGAGCCACCTCCAACCTCTGGAGGCTACTAGCATCCCTTGCCCTTTTCTGCACACTCCGATCTCTGCCTTCATCTTCATATGGCTTTCTCTTCTGAGTCTCTGTCTCTCTTGTCTTTTTTTCAAATATTCTCTTGCCCCCCCCACCTCTCTCTCTCTCTCTTTTTAAAAATTTGCCAGAGGATGCAAGTACTCACCAAGGAGGGAAGGAGAGAGAGAGAGAGAAAGAGAGAGAGAAAGTGAGAACACACTCTCCATACTCTACATGGGGCAAATCACACCACGATCTCTTCTCCTCGTCTTCCTCCTTTGGAGATTGTGGGCATGCACACACCTATGCCTGGCATCCTTCTCAGGCTGCCAGGTCTGCAGCTCAAACTGTTGAGTCAGTCATGTGGGATACAACCTACTTAACTATCAGGCCACAGGCTTGCCATGACCCTCTCTTTCTTGTAAAAGGATATTTGTCATTTGGATTTAGGGACCGCTTGGATAATCCAAGATGATTTCCCCATCTCAAGATCTATGACATTAATCATCTCTGCAAAACCCCTTTTTCCAAGTAAGGTAACATTTAGCATCTGAGAATTAGGACGTAGTGAAGAGGTAGACATGCCTTGGAGGGCCAACTTTCAAGCTGTCACACCAGCCATATTAACATTTATTTGATTAGGTCCAGCTGTGATGGTATGGGCTGTTCACAACTGTTCCACAGACTGGCACCACATGGGAGGCCCAGGTTTGATTCCTGGTCCAACCTAAAAGCTGGGCGTGGTGGCGCACCTGTAATCTCAGCTGCTTGGGAGGCTGAGATAGGGAGATCATGACCTCATGCCATCCTGAGCAACATAATAAGAGCCTATCTGGTCCCAGCTATCTGGGAGGCTGAGGAAGGGGGATCAAAACATGGTAAGACCCTGTTTAAAGCACCACCACCCACAACACACACACTAACAAACGTACCTGATTAGAGCTAGCTTCATTATTTATCAATGAGTGTATTTCCCTAGTTTCTGGTTACATAACCCAAAAGAAGGTAGCCTTTGTCTTATGACTCGTCAATAAAAAGTGTTTAAAGTCAGCCATGCCTAATTTAATATAATCATTTAATGCATGTATTTTTAAGGCTCTGCATCTGTACCTGGACGCTCTGAAGAATAGCTTCTCATTCACAGAAATGCCTTGTGTTATAAAATGATGAGTATCTTCCATGTCATCATTACCTTCATAGTAATACTTGAGATCAGAATCCAGTTGTCGAATGAAACTGAAGTTTTAGTGAACAGGTCAAAAACAGATCTCACCCATATTCCCCAAGACCTACCTCTGGAAACAACAACCTTAGACATGTCACACAACTATATATCTGAGCTTCAGACTTCTGTCCTCCTACCACTCTCCAACCTGAGGATTTTGATTCTTTCTCATAATAGTATTCAGCATCTTGATCTCAGTGTTTTTGAATTCAATCAGGAATTGGAATACTTGGATGTATCGCACAACAAGTTGGGGAGCCTTTCTTGCCACCCTACTGTGAACCTCAAGCACTTAGACCTTTCGTTTAATGCATTTGATGCCCTGCCCATATGCAAGGAGTTTGGCAACATGCTTCAACTAAAATTTCTGGGACTGAGCGCTTCACAGCTACAGAAATCCAGCATGCTGCCAATTGCTCATTTGAACATTAGCAAGCTCTTGCTGGTCTTAGGAGAAACTTATGGAAAAAAAGAAGACCCTGGGAGCCTTCAGGGTATTAATACAGAGAGTCTGCACATTGTTTTTCCCACAGAAAAGGAATTCCATTATATTCTGGATGTGTCGGTCAGCACTATAGAAAGTCTGGAGTTGTCTAATATCAAATGTGTGCTAGATGATAACCAATGTTCCCATTTCCTACATGTTCTGTCAAAACTTCAGAGGAATCCGAGGCTGTCGAATCTTTCTTTAAACAACATCGAAACAACTTGGAATTCTTTCATGAAGATCCTCCAGTCGATTTGGAATACAACCATAGAGTATTTCTCCATTTCAAATGTGAAGCTACAAGGTCAACTTGACTTCACAGACTTTAACTATTTTGACACGTCTCTGAAGACCTTGTCTATACAACAAGTGGTCAGTGATGTGTTCAATTTTCCACAAAGTAAAATCTATAAAATCTTTTCAAACATGAACATCCAAAATTTCACAGTATCTGGTACACGCATGATTCACATGCTTTGTCCATCCCAAATCAGCCCATTTCTATATTTGGATTTTTCCAATAATCTCTTAACAGATACAGTTTTTGAAAATTGTAGAAGCTTGACCAAATTGAAGACATTTATTTTACGAATAAATCAGTTAAAAAAACTTACGAACATAGTTCATATGACCAAAGAGATGAAGTCTCTGCAACAATTAGATATTAGCCAGAATTCTATAAGGTATGATGACAATGAAGAAGTTTGTTTCTGGACTAAAAGTTTACTAAATTTAAATATGTCTTCAAATGTACTTACAGACTCTGTTTTCAGTTGCTTACCTCCCAAGATCAAGATACTTGATCTTCACAAGAACAGAATACAGAGCATTCCTAAAGGAGTCCTGCAACTAGAGTCTTTGCAAGAACTCAACATTGCTTTCAATTCTTTAGCTGACCTTCCTGGATGCGGTACCTTCAGCAGCCTTTCTGTCCTCATCCTTGACCATAACGTGGTTTCCCACCCATCAGCTGATTTCTTCCAGAGCTGCCAGAAGATTAGATCACTCAAGGCAGGGAACAACCCATTCCAGTGTACATGTGAGCTAAGGGAATTTATCAAAAACATAGGCCAAGTACCAAGAGGGGTGGTGGAGGACTGGCCTGATTCTTACAAGTGTGACTACCCAGAAAGCTATAAGGGCACTCCACTGAAGGACTTCCATCCGTCTCAGTTATCCTGCAACACAGCTCTGTTGATTGTCACCGTTGGGGCCACCATGCTGCTGCTGACTGTGACCATGACCCTCCTCTGCATCTACTTGGACTTACCCTGGTATCTCAGGATGGTGTTTCAGTGGACCCAGACCCGGCGCAGAGCCAGGAACTTGCCCTTAGAGGAACTCCAAAGAACTCTCCAGTTCCATGCTTTTATTTCATACAGTGGGCATGATTCTGCCTGGGTGAAGAACGAATTGGTACCAAACCTAGAAAAAGAAGATGTACGGATTTGCCTCCACGAGAGAAACTTTGTTCCCGGCAAGAGCATCGTGGAGAATATCGTCAACTGCATTGAGAAGAGCTACAAGTCCATCTTTGTTTTGACTCCCAACTTTGTCCAGAGTGAGTGGTGTCATTATGAGCTCTACTTTGCCCACCACAATCTCTTCCATGCAGGATCTGATAACTTAATCCTGATCTTGCTGGAACCCATTCCACAATACTCCATTCCTAGCAGCTATCACAAGCTTAAATCTCTCATGGCACGAAGGACATACTTAGAATGGCCCAAGGAGAAGAGCAAACGTGGACTATTTTGGGTTAACTTAAGAGCAGCCATTAATATTAAGTTGATGGAGAGAGCAACAGAAGTTAGTCACACGTCAAACTACTCACATCCGTCTTCTTAATATTGCTACTTTTGGAAGTTCCAGCGAAGACTTTGTTGTGCATTAACATGAATTTAAATACAATTTCGAATTTATAATGTAGTACTTTGAGGCTCCAGCTCATCATTAATAAAAATGAATGAAATGGAGGGCAGCTGGTGACAAAACAGTAACACAATGTTCTATGAGGCCGATCCACTGGAGAAGATTTTGTGTTCACATCTGAAGACTTCTGTGAACATGTCAGGCATGCAGGTACCATGATTCGTGGTTTGCTTACCCTGGGAGTGGGTCATGGCATGAAGACCTTATTGGGGATGCTTGTCTTTCCTGCTCATGGAATAAATAAATAAATGAACTTTAGGAAAACTAATGAAATGGTATAATTTTTATTTAGACAGTTAATTTCCATGAGAAATTTGCCTGTTTCTTTGCTATAACTAAATTTCTTGAATTTATCATAAATCAAGATAAGCCTCTTGTGGGCTGGCAAGTGGTATGGTGGTTAAGGGCACTGGGCTCCCCCATGGCCGACCATAGTTTGGGTCCTGGATCTGAGGGCTTGCTTTCTCACTTTCTCTCTCTCTCTCTCTGGTCAAATTAAAAGTCAATAAATAAATAAAGTTAAATAATTCTTTTAAAAAAAAAAAAGATAAGCCCCTGTTTCTCCTTAATGACATATGTCTTGTGTTCCTGAGCTGATATTAGAAAACTCCATGAACTGGCTCCATAGCCTGATGGTTAAGGGGGCCAGATCCCACATGGCTGATAGTGGAGTTCAAGTCCCAGAAAAGTAAGCATGTTGGGCGCATGTATGAGCATGTCCCAAATCCCGGCAAGATGGAGAAATGAAGTAGAAGGGATCATGCCCCACTGGAGGCTGCTTTCTCCCTCTCCCTTTCTTTCTGTTTTTCTACATGCCCTCTGGCAAAATTTTAAACACACACACACACACACACACACTCACACAAACTCCTTGACTGTTATGCCTAGTGTAAGGTTTTTATAGTAAATTTCTGTAGCTGGTGGGACTCACTCATATCCTCTCAGCATTAGCTTTCTCATCTTGAAGGCTGTTCATTGCTGATTGGGGAAATTGTATGTCTGAAGGTTTTGTTCTTGGCCATGATCCCCATCAAAAGGACAACTCAGAAGTGCTGGAGAGATGTCATTGGAAGAAGCCCTCAACCTATGTCAGAAAGACTACTTAAAATAGGGAGATGAAGAGAGAAAAGGCAGGAACAGGGTCAAATTCTGTCTATTCTGAGACAGCTGTATCAGTTTTACTAGACAATGAACAGCTACAGTAAGATATAAGTGTGATGCCAGGCACGAGTCTGTGTGTGCCCAAGATCCCGAGAGGACAATGGAGGAGAAGAGATTGCAGTGTGGCCATCCCCCCCGGGGGGTGATTTCTCACTTTCTCTCTCTCTGTCTCTCTGTGTCTTTCTGGTGAGTGCACGCACCCTATAGCAAAAACTTCTCAAAAAAAAAAAATGATGTAAGTGTGGAAAGTTTCATTATGACCATATTGCCAAGGGTCTTGAAAGTCAAGCAACAGAGTTAGAACTACCTATAGAAATATCATCATTGGACTAGCTCTGTAGCCTGGTGGTTAAGGCAGTTGGATCCCATGTGGCTGACCTCACAGTTCAAATTCTGAACCTACTGACTTGGGAAACCCCAGGTGTATGTATGTGTGTGCCCAAAATCCCAAAACAAGGGAGAAATTGAGGAGAAGAGATCGTAGTGTGACCATTCCCCATGGAGGTATTTTCTCTCTCTTTCTTGCCCTCTCTCTCTGGCAAGCACATGAGCTCTCTGCCAACATTTTTTTAAATGTCATTATTTAACCTTCTATGGAGCATAACAGTGAAAAGGAAATTTGAGCCATGAGCTATATACTAAAAGGATGTGAAAACTCTTGTTCCATTCTGGCATTGCACAGTTGTGAGAACTGGATTTTCCTGCTTTCTCTAGGACGATTGCACTTCCTATGTTAAACTTCTGTATTTCATAACCAAGTTTCAACGGTTTACCAAGTAGCCGTACATTAGTTTTCAAGGACTACTGTAAAAATGACTACAAACTGTGTTACCTACACAACCCAAATGTATTATATCACACTTCTGGAGGTAGAAGTCCTAGATCAAGATATTGACAGGGTTGGCTCCTTTTGAGAGCAGAGACGGAAGGATCTGCTCCCAGCCTATTCTTAAACTCATCAATGGCTGACTTCCCTTGTGTCTCTTCACACCATCTTCACTCTGTGCCTGCCTGTCCGAAATCCCCCTCCCTTTTTGGGGAAATGTTTAGGTTTTTGCCATGGGAAATATGCAATTGCCAAAGAGAGACAGAGAGAGGAAAATCGAGAAATCACCCATGGGGGGTAGGGCCATGCCACAAACTTCCTCCATCCCCTGAGTTTGGGGCATGCACACACATGCGCACACACACACACATCCAGTGTGATTCTGAGCTGCTGGATCTGGGGCTGAACCATAATTGGCCATGAGAGAATCCAGTCTCTTACCACAATGCCACCTGCTGGCCCCTAAGGTTCCATTTTTTATAAGGACACCAACCACACTGGATTAGGGCTCACACTGATGACTTTGTCTTAATTAATTACATCTACAACAACCATATTTCCTAAGAAGGTCACATTATGAGGTACTGAGTTCATACGAATTTAGAGGAACACAATTCAACCCATAACACCTTGTAAGTCCTGAAAAAAAAAAAATCCCTGAAGAGAGGCATGAAGTCAATTAGAGTTTATCCAACAAACTCAATATTTTGAGAAAAGAAGTTAGGTCAATCCTATGTATGAAAAGCTGATTTCATGTGGCTTCAAGGAAGCTGCCAGAAGGTTGAAATGGTACTAGTGGGATCTCCTTCCAAAGAATCCCAAGTTGGGAAGGTAGAGTTCAGGGCAAAGTATGAATAAATATAGAACTATGAAAGTAAAAAAGATTTCACTGATGCATATGCAAACTCTGAACCGGAAGCTCTGGGCTTCACTTCCAGTTCTATCATCTACTTGTAGATGACCTTGAACGAGTTATTTAAATCTTCTAAACCTAGCTTTCATTATTTGTAAAATGTATCAGAGTAGCTTGCCATGACCTTTGGATGTTCAGGTATAAATTTAAAATGAGTCTCATAGGCCCTAAACTATGAAATTCACAAGTGATTCTGTTGAAACTCCCTTTCTTAGGATTGAGGTAAGAGGGCATAAACCATCCATCCTTTCTGAAGGTAAATGTGACTTATAATACACGAACACATCTCTCCAAAATCCTCTTCTCATTTGTAACCCCTCTTAACCTCTACAACAACTCCTCCTATTGGCTAGAGGCATATTGTCAGCAAAAAGTTATAAAAATAGTTGGCTGTCCGCAGTTCGAGTCCTGGACCTGGCAGCTTGCTTTCTTGCTTTCTCTCTCTCTCTCTCTGTCACTCTGTCTCTCTCTGGGACAAAGTTAAACAAAGTTAAATAAAATACTTCTTTAAAAAATATTTTAAAGAACAATTCTCTAGTCTCACACCTCATTTGATAGACATTCTCCAAAATGAAGACTGGTGGTCCCATTTTATCAGCCTATTAAACTATTGGATCATCAGGAAAGTTATGATGCATTTTTGCATAGAAAAACATAGAGAAACATGTCATGACTTTCCTGATGATCCAATCGCACAACTGCAGTAGAATAGACATTTTATTTGGTGATAATAAGACGACAAAGTAACTTGGCAAAATATCTCAATAATATTAAAATATTCATACTCTTTGATCTTGTCATTCCAACTCTAGGAATCTATACTAAGGAAATAAGTTGAAATATGGGAAAATATTTGTGTACAAGTATAATTTTAAGGATATTGGTAACAGAAAAATTTGAAACACTCCAAATTTCTGACAATGGAGAAATGTCTTGTGTTTGTTTAATGATGTATTTTACAACCCATCTAAAATAATGTACGGGGTTAAGAAGGTAAATTATATGTTATATAGGTTTTTTATTAACCACAATTAAAAAAATGTCTAAGAAGACTCTTATTACTATAAAAGAATGCTTATATTCAATAAAAAAAGAAAAACACAGGATACAAAACTGTGTACAATATATGTTTGACTATGTTAAAAATATGAATGAAAAAATGTCTAAATGAGAGCTAGCTGGTGGTATAGTGGTTAAGGCGGCTGATCCTGTAAGGCTGACCACGCAGTTGGAGTCCTGGACCCAGGGCTTGAAAAACATGTTAGGCATGTGTGTGTGCATGCATGCCCAAAATCTCAAAAAAAAAAGGAAATGAAGAAGAGGTTGTGGTATGCTGATCTCCCATTGGGGGTGCTTTCTCACTTTCTCTATCTCCAGCAAATTCATGTGCCCTCTAGCAAATGAAAAAAGAAAGAAAGAAGGGACCAGCAATTGGTGTAATGGCTATGTTGCTGGACTCCCATGTAGTCGACCGCGGTTTGAGTCCCGGACCCGGTGGCTTAAGCTCACACCAGGCACATGTGCATGCATGCCCAATCCCGAGAGAATGGAGGAGAAGGGATTGCAGCATGGCCATCCCCACTGGGAGATGATTTCTCACTTTCTGTCTCTCTCTGTCTTTCTGGTGAACACACGTGCCCTATAGCAAAAAACTCTCAAAAAAAAAAGTAAAAGAAGAAAGAAAAAGAAAGAAAGGAAGAAAGGAAGAAAGAAAAAGAAAAGGAAAAAGAAGAGGAAGAAAAGAGAAAAAGAAAGAAAAGAATGGAGATGAAATATACAAAAACATTATCCTTCCTTGCCTGTGGTTTGTTTTTAGTTTTAGACATTTATTTATTTGTTTGTTTATTTAATTTTAGATTTTTATCATAGGACATGTGCACTTGGAGAGGCAGAGAGAGACAGAGAGAGAGGGAAAGTGAGAAATCGTGCCTCAGGAGCCATGACCACTCTGCAATCCCTTCTCCTCCATTCCCCTCTTGGAATTTTTGGACATGCTTGCCTATACTCTTTGAGTGATTTTCAAGCCATAGGTCAGCCATGTGAGAGTCCAGTGTTTTTACACATTTCGTACTTAAAAAACTCACAACCAGCAAATCAGAGTTTAGGAGATCAAAACTAGGTCTCCATCAGCGATGGAACAATAGAGAATAAAAAACATACCCTGAGCTCTCAGGAGAGCACACTGCATGCTGGGAGCCAGATCCCACATGACCGAATGCTGTTGGAGTCCTGGTTTTGGCAGCTTGAAGAACGTATCAGCACACAGCATGCATGGCCAACATCCTGACGGGATAAAGACATAGAAGGAAAAGGATTGCAACCTGACCATGCCCCACAGGTCTCTCTCTCTCTGGTGAGCTCATG